CTGAGGGATTTAAACGGGTTTGCCTGCCACCTGGAGGTCAGAAAAGATTTTCCTGGTGGACACCAGAGGTACAACTGGTAGTTAAATAGAAGAATGCTGCATTCAAGAAATGACTTGGAATCAAGGAGCCCTAAACTCGTATGCAGCATGAAGAAGCGCGCAATCCGGCAACAAAAGCCGTGACAAAGGCCAAAGCTGATTCCTGGGAAAAGTTCGGCGAGGTGTTGGAGTCTAATTTCTAGACGGCAAACAAAGTATTCTGGCAAACCATCCGTCGACTCCGAGGTGAAATAAAAGGCGGTCCAAAAGTCTTGAAGGATAGGACTGGACACCCACTTACCGAGGATATTCTTCGGCGATGGAAAGAGTACATTGAAGAACTCCATAATCCTGAGCAATCGCAGGAACGACATTAGCATCTCTGTAGATGAAATACCCAAGGTGTAGAATACTTGAGAAACGGAAAGACAACTAGAAATGATGAAATCCGCCCTGAAATGCTCAAAGGATTAGGTGAACAAGGAGTGCTGGATTTCACATGTCTGTCAAAATGCCATGGCCGCGTGGAAGGCACCACTGGAGTGGAGAACAGGGGTGGTAGTACCCCTGTTCCGGAACAGACACTATTGAGAATGCTCTAATTATCTGGACATTACCTTATTGAGCCTCCCAGTTAACATCTAAGTAAATGTGCTGTAAAGGAGGTGCCGCTGAATATTTGATTCCAAAACACAAGAAGAGCAGTGTGCCTTCCGCTCTGGCTTAAGCACAGGTGATAAGATATTTGCCCCATGCCAGGTTGTGATATTAGTGACAGAAAATTTGAGGAAAAGATCGACGGACGAATGGGAGTTGCCAGTGTCGTTTTGTGTGAACTAGCCTGAACCGTTGTGGCTAAAGGAGAGTTGAGCCTGAAAACTAAGCTCTCGATATTCAAGTCGATCTTTATTCCCATGCTTTTCTACGGTCATGAATCCTGGACCATGACTGGAAAGCTTCGAACCCGGGCAGAAGCTGCTGAAACGGGCTTTCTTAGACGAGTCTCTTTCCTTAGGCGTCTCGACATGATCCGGAATGCTGACACCCGGAAGAGCCTTGGTGTACAGCCTCTGCTAGTACAGATTGAAAAGGTACAGCTGCGATGATTTGGTACGTTTCGCGAATACCTCTTGAGAGGAAGGCGAAACAAGAACGCGGGAACGGCAAAGATTGGCCTTGTGTACTGTGCTTGGAAGAAATCTGCTCTAGACTCCGGTTGTTTTCTGTGGATACTCAGACTCTAACGCGGAATCGGGAACTTTGGAAACACTGTATGACACGTCTGCCTCCGGGACCATAATAGAGATGCGGCCATGGAAACTGAATTGCTGGTTAGACCTGTAATTACATGCAGCAACACAGTTAAATCGAGGCATGGTTCCAACGGGTCAGCAAAATTTTTTAAAATATTTGGAGTAATGATTAATAAAATCAAGATTCCTGGCAACAACTACTGCATAACCTATTCAAAATTACATACCTTATCAAGATTAACACTAATGTAAATAATCTTTTATGCTACAGCTTTAGTTGAATATAATATTGCACAGTAAGTTATGAATTAGGTGAAGGCGAGTTGCAGCCCTAAGAGACGTCCAAATCAGGCAGCACGACTGTACCTCTCGGTACCATAGAGTATCTACATGTAAAGAACCTAATGAAATATATGACTTGTGATGGCTGCTTGTCCCATGAGTGCATTTAAAATTGAAATTCTAGTGCCATTTGGCCCAACCGAGATTCATATTCACTAATAGCATCAACGGGCACTACAAACAACGCAGAAGGGTTAGTGGAAGAATGATTCGGTGGTTCGGTTACACGCTTATTTCTTTCCACAAGAAGTCTTGTTTGTTGTTCTGTTCCATCCGCTGAAGAAACGCATTTTATATGCTAGCCGTCGGCACTTCCAAAATTACCAAAAACACTTATCAGCTGATGACAGTTTAATAACTGTGAAATATGAAAACTAAATTTTTACGTACCACAGCGTCGAGTTTGAAAGGCACAAGACAAACTAGTCTTGCTGGTGGTCGAACGTCTTATTTGAAAGCTTGATCAGAGACGATGGAGGAAACGTGACACGACAAAACTGGTTTCATATGACGCGGCTGCCGTCAACACTGCATAGGCGAACAGCCCCTCAACGGCTGCTTGACTCGTTGGCACGAAAGAAGAGTCCAGGATTTACGAGGCACACGTGCATTCGCAATGCGACGTACGTCATTGCCGCGGCGATTCTGTTTACCGCTTAATATGCATAATTCTCCAGTGCTTGTCCTGCTCTATTTCACTCTGAATCTGTTGAGTTCTAGTCTGTCACTAGTTATAGTTTGATGGACAACTGGTCCAAACTACGCAGTAAGTGGATTGACAATGTTTCGAATGACGCGTTTTATTCTGCTCATCGCAATGTGCACTTTAGTAATCGTGCTGTTGGACAGCCTAACACGTGTGATCACAACGTGGCGCTTTGAGTTCCACCAGTCACGGGGAAACAATGAAGAGCCGATGGCCAGCTGCGGCTTAGCAAATGGTCACTGTCCCTAGGCTGGTGTACTGCATGTATGAAGCAGTACAACACTGATGGAACAGAACTAAGGCGGTGAATGCAACCGCTTAACAGGCACTTTTAATTTGAGGACTAAAACAGCCAGCTAACAGAACGAAATACAGTTAAGAAATAAAGAGGGGAGA